AAGGACCCACTCAAACGCAAACCAAAATTTCATTAAAATCGGTCCAGCCGTTTAGGAAGAGTTCAGTTACAAACAAATGCACAGTCGAGTTATATATATTGAGATAGATCTCTGGTCATGTTAATAGGACGCCATTAAGTGATTAGAGTTGGGCTACTAGCAGAGCGTTTGATAAAGAGAAAACACATGATAGGTTTTCTTGTTTGTTTAATGATTTCTTATATTTACGCGAACACTATACATTTAAATAAAACTAGTTTTATGGATTTTATCGCGTCTATTAACTTATTTTATATTACCGACTTTTCGAGTACATCACAGCACCCATGGTACCTCCAGATTAAAAATTATTAATTTTTGTTCCGATCGACGCAGTTTCTTGTTTGTTTGTAATGAGATTATGCTCATCTCCATAACACTGCAATGTAGCTTACCTTCGATTTTTTGATTTATTTATGTACACACAATAAGACACAGAAATATTCATAAAGCGAGTTGCTACAAATGGTCTACTTATTCCATAATTTACTGAAATATCTTCCACTATATATTGAATAAGGCAAACTTAGTTTTATCAGTTTTATCACGTAATTACCTGTCTAACTTTCAGGCTTCCTTACGCTGAGCTGTTTTTTTTCTTGAAGTATCGTCCCGAGCCACCTGTGCCCATTGACATCCTGCATGTCACTATGTCACTAATTAATCCAGTTGTGAGACGCCCAACTGTGTCTACTACTACGAGGCTGCCACTCGAGAACCTTTCTTCCCTATCGGTTGTCAGTTCTTCGAGCCATATGGCTGGCCCATTGCAACTTCAGCTTACTGATCCGCTGGGCTATATCAGTTACTTATGTTCTTCTGCAGATAAACTCGTTACGATTTTTATCACGCGGAGAAGTTCTGAGGATAGACATTTTCATGGCGCGTTGAGCGATTTAGAGATTCCGCATATGGCTAGTAGTGATGACCACGTATCAGCTCCGTAGTTCATCACTCGCAACACGATTGTATATAAGAATGCAATATATTTTTAGCTGACTTTAAATACGGAGGTTCTCAATTTAATATTGTTTGAATAATGTCCTCCAGATCGAACTTTGGCCAGTCTCAACAGAGACTAGTCATCTGCGCAGGACATTATAGTGTTCGAATGTATGCGCCAGCACAGGTGCACTCTCTATTCGCTCACTGTCATAGTCCGATGGAACGGTAATCCGACACGACCGGAGAGGGATCAGGCGCAAGACCAACAGCTTTAAGTGCTTTTCGAGGCACGGGGTAAAATACCATCAACTTCCTGACTCCTGAGAATTTCTTGACAGAAAAAGCCAACAATCGATTTTGGACTGAACCGGGATTCGAACCTTATGATCAGTAATCACGTTTATGACTTCGATCAACGTGATACTTTTTTGAATTTAGTATGTGACTATATCTTTTAAAATTGTAACAGATTTTATTGATTCTTATATATGTATAAAATACGTTATATGTAAAAGGTAAAAGTTAGTTAAAGTTACAGCTTAAATACGTTCCATTGCTGGGCACAGGCCTCCTTTTATTTCTGAGAGTGTTTTAGGGCAAGGAAATGTCCGCCGCGCTGCCCCATTGCGTATTGGCGAACTTCACGTCTTCGAAATATTTTTTTTCTTATTTCTCAGACATTCATGTTTCCTTACGATGTTTTCCTTCACCGCTGAGCACGTGGTAAATTAGCACTTAAAATTGCAATAAACAATTTCATTGGTGCCGGCGGGGATCGAACCCGGGTTGCTCGCGTACTGTGAAACTTACAGCGAGCGCTAACCATCTGAGTTTCCATGGCTCATGTAAAAGGTAGTCCCATGTAAAAGGTATTAGTCCCATATTAATTTAAAGAAAAATTACATTTTTAAGGGTGAATAAATAGGGTATGAAGTTATTAATGTAACTATTTCATTGACATTATAGTTGTAACCGTAATGATTATATTCTCTTTGGTTGTAACCTTGAGCTTGTGATTATTACATCGTCTTCTTAAAAGGATTCAAAAATTATTCTTTTCATAAAAGTAAGACCCAAAAGGACTTTAGTTTTTTAAAATCTGTTTCTGTTTAAAAAATTATTTATAGAATTTTCTGATAAATAACGAGCAGTAATGTCTAAAGAACAAATCGTACGATTATGTGATCGCCAATACGAAGAATAGCGATGGCGATTGTGGTTTATTATTTAGATTGTGAGGGTGAAAAACTAGCATACAGTCTACGTAAGTATATGCCGTGGCCAATAACACCTTCTTCTATCGATTAAGAACCGAAAAATACTTGGAGAAAGTAATAAGTCTCAACTGTAGCTTATCATAACAATATTTTTAATGTACTTCTTTTTCATCAGCAGAAAAAAGTCTACTGTAAGAAATTAATTTGCAGGCCGCGGCGATTCGCGTGTCTTGTCGCAGCGTACCGCCTGGCAGGGCGTCCACGTGTTGTAAAGTGAAAAGTTTATAATATTAAGGAATTTACGCATGATAATAAACCCTGGGAATGAGGTGATCGCTACCAAGCTTTAATAATTTGTTTTGTGTTGTTAATTATGTAACATGTATGATTGTAAGATGTTATTTTTTTTTTCAAAAAAAAAATTTTGTTTGGTTTATTGCTGGTTCTTCCCACAACAGAGTTTTTTCTGAACTAGTGATACACTCTGGATTCGCACGGGTAATTTCTGGATCTCGACAACAGCGCCACCTACCGGGTCCAATTGTGAATCATTTAGATAATCCAGGGACCCACTCAAATACACACGAAACATTTCATCATAATCGGTCTGGCCGTTTTCGAGTTTTTGCGTGTCTAACGGACAGCAACTGATTTCTATATATAGTTTTTTTATATATGAAAGGGTGACAAACGAGCACACAGTCCACCTGATGGTAAGTGGATGCTGTGGCCCATATATATCTATATTTATCCTCGATTACGAATCAAAATGCAGATGCGTTGTCACCCGTGAGGACTAAGATGGAATGCCTCGTTTCCAGTAAAAGGGGTCTCCGGTTCTCTACACTCACCATACGAAATACAGCAGCGTTAAGCTGCTATTTTACGCTGGTATTCTGTGGGAGCGTGTTTCTTCCCCGGTCGAGCAGACCCATTCGTGGTACAACTATACCAGTAATATAGCTGCAGCATGGCTCTACCACGTTAAAATATAATACAGTAATAAATAGTAATCGAAAAAAAATTCGTAGGGAAAATGACTAAGAACCATATAATTCTAAAGAAATGTATAATCATTGTTATTCAATTACTTAAGATTCGGTGTAAAAAATATTTCACATTTCAGACTCTATATTTTCTTTAAATATTTTTTTTATAGGATAAGGGTGACAAACGAGCACACAGTCCACCTGATGGTAAGTGGTTGCTGCGGCCCATAGACATCTACATCTATCCTCTATTACATATCAAAATGTAGATGCGTTGTCACCCGTGAGGACTAAGATGGAATGCCTCATTTCCAGTAAAAAGGGCCTCCGGCCACCTGCACTCACCAAGCGAAACGCAGAGGTAAACCTCTACCTCACGCTGGTTTTCTGTGAGGTCGTGGTACCACCCCGGTTCGAGCCGGCCAATACATGCGACAGCAAAAGCTGCCGCGTGGCTCTACCACTGTTAAAAATTGTTATTTAACATTACTTTAGGCCCGATTTAGTATAATAATATAAGGTTAGTTTTTTGGTTAGTTTCTATTATTTTCATACATTTTAGAGGGCGCATTGTAGAGAAGCGAAATGGTTTGAAAAAATTGAGCGAAAATGTAGTTAAGTTACAAGTGATATAAAAAATGTTCAATTAATTATTTTACATAAAAAAAACATATTTTACTCATAGGCATTTATTATTACATCAAGAACTTTAAAAAGATAGGTCACAAGAAAAATAATCATATAAAAAATCCGCCTTAACTGTTACGACCCGTCCGCCCAAGATGTGTTTTTAACGCACACATGCGCATAATCCTACATACACAAATTTCCGTATCATTTACGAACACGTCAGCTGAAAACCTTAAACACACGAAATTGAGCTTTAATTAATATGAGCAAAGGCTATATACGCATGACTGTGTGTCTGATAAATTAGGATATTCTAAACTCGAATACAACACTAAATATTTGTAAGCAATAGAATATCCTCTTTAATATGGACCGAACAAAGTTGAAAATCAATTAAGTGCTAACGAACAAAATTCATATTTCGTTTTTAAATTCAATTTACGCTTTAAAACAAATAAAGTAAGACAGAAAATCGAATGCTTTGTGATATGTCATGTCTGCGTTCCGAATTTGAAAGAGCTTCCCGAGGCAAGCCGAGCGCGTACCGATCGGGTCCGAGTGGCGCCGAGACGCGGAGAGTGCCGCGAATGCATTACGACGTAGTGGCCGAGGGCTGGCGATGCGGAAAACTTACGATTTTTATTACTAACGCTTCTGATAGAAGCTCCGCTTTATAGGGTTTTATAAAACGCTTTCATGTGAAACATCTTTTTTATTTTTAAGTTCTAACAATTAGGTCATTTCTTTCAAATTGTTGGTTGTTGGTTGTTATTATTATGTGATTATAATAAATATAAGTAATAATTACAAATATTTAATATTATATTCAATGACGTTTCAATAAATATAAAAGAAAAATATATATTTAATAATTTATAATAAATCGGAATAACTGTGTAAAAATATTAACAGCTTTGAGAAGCTTAAATTGAAATGCTATAGTAACGTTAAAGTTTTAGATAATTTTGATTTTAATTGCACAGTGTACTCGTATCTTAATATTTACGCCTTTCAAAATGTGAAACATGAAAAACTCGGAAAATTTCGTCGTATCCAGCCCTGTGCGCATGGTGGGGTGGGGCGGGCGCGGTGCGGCGCGGGACGAGGGTGCGGTGCTCGCGACAGTCAGACGCGGGGCGCCGCGGAGCCCGCACGCGATATGCGCGCCCTCTAGCGTATTATGTTCCTCCCCGAACTCCCGCGAGCCTGCATGGTGGACGACGTAGCAACGTACCTCCAAGCGCCCTCCTCGGGACAGGTGGCTACAATATATTAACAACAAACCCATATGTAATTAACAATGATCATATTAACAGATGTTGTGGGCTAATGTCGCTTACCTACGCCGCGTCCGCCGCCCGGGTATTTTCGGGACGTACCGATTTTGCCGTCCAATAGATGTGGATCGCACGTGATGTCTGATGTGGTAGGCAGAACGGGACTTTGTTGCAGTCTTAAGGTACTGTAAAATAAATAAATATTAAAAAAATTCTATCGGACTGACAAGCCACGTGGCTGTACCAGCCAGTATGAAAAAAATCAAGATTCAAAATTCACCTAAATAACGTAGAATAAAAGTAATAAAACTTAATGTCTATGATATCATAAATGTTGTTCAAAGCAAAGTTTGTAAACAGATCGATAAACTTTGAGAAGTTCGCGAGAAAAGCGAGCTGGGTGACGGCTTGTTACTTTCAGATATATTCCGAATTGATCTTGTCAAAATCAAGCTTAAAATATAGACAACTTCATTTCTTGCTTCTCGACAATAAGTTCTCTAAAAACACTAAAATAAATGAAACTAACCGAATAAAAGGACTTAAAATGAATCTAGTCTCAGGTGAAGTTAAATTATATATTTTAAACCCAAAACTGTGGAGTCTGAAATGTGAAAAAGTTCAGTAATTAAATAAATAGTGACTCTACGTTGCTTTCAAAGTATATAATACAATTTTATTTAAATACTCACGATGTATAGTTGGCGTTAATCTAATATTTAAAATAAATAATGTTCAAATCAATATAAACTTCATAATTACTAATTAACTTAATGAAAGTGTAAATGTTTAAACGTATGGAGTTAAAAAATTGACCAATTTTTTATTATTTGTATCTCTTTTTTATTTTTATATATAATATTTATTTATTTAATTGAACTATCTATTAAATTATTTATTATAGTCTCTATATGCAAAAAAAAAGATTTATGGATGAGTGATTTAAAAAGAATGCCAAAACATATTCTACAAAAGCGTTTATAATCTACGCAATAACCGAAGAATGCGCTTAATTGAATGAAAAATTAAAATAAAACACCAGCGAAGCGGAATGTTTAAGTAGTAGATAGTAAATCGATATGGTTTGGGAAGCGAAGATGCGAGGCGAACTGCAGGCGAAATACGGCATAGAGTAACGTACCGCCCATTCCAGCTATCTGCAGTTGAATAGAGACATTAGCTGCCTTTTTATGCCTTTCCCGACGATAAACCCCTCTTCTGTTTAATGACTTATTGCATTACTAGAGTGGTAGTCTTTGTGAAATATTTTTATTTCACTGAATTGGATAATTTTTTTCTGAATACTAATATATTTTTCTTCTCTACTCAACCAAAAGCTTTCACATAGGGTATTTGCTAACTAATTTAGTTACATTTATATTTATATATATTTATTATTTTCTACAATATTAACAGTAAATCTGTACATTTTGTTAATAACTTTCAAGATTCAAATCTGTCGATCTAAAAGCTCTACGTTATGTAGAGTTAACAAGAAACGGTTGGTTAACATTAATTACTATATCCATATTGATTAGAAAATTTACTTTTATTGTAAATTTTATTAAATTATTAACAGACTATAATGACAGTAAGTTAGTATTGAATTTCGAGTAATAGTGCTTTAATAACGACAGGATGAAAAAAATGTTTCTATAAAGTTTAATTTACATCTTTTAACACCTATTTATTATAATTTAACTTTTATGAAATTATTTCTTTTGAGTTCAGAGACACTGAAATACGAAGATAATAAAATAAAGGCTATAGACTTGAAAATTTATATAATCAAAAGCTTTACTATGTGTAAAGTTATACAAAAATGTAAAAGCGTCCTTGATGGTTTCAGTTATGAAATTTCAATAAACTCATTTAAGCTCACTTGAATTTTCCCGTTATCATGTATGTTGCAAATAATTTGCATTACATGTTGTATATTGTTTGCATATCACTGTTTGTCTCTAATAGAAAAAAAAAACAAGTATAGTTTTTGCGTAAATATAAGAAATCGTTATTTTTGTTGCATTGAATTTGACGGCTCGGGAACGCATTGATTAAGCGGTTGGCTGCAGCGTTGCGGGACCGCGGGTTTGAATCCCGCATGAAATAATTTCTTGTATGGTCTACAAATAATTGTTTCAGGTCTGGATGGTTTTTTCCTTTATATGTTTAAAAATTTTAAGCAGTAAGCAGTTCTATTATTGCTGTGTTGTATGTATGTTAATACAATCTGTCTGATAATGTGTATAAATAAAAGCTTAATTAACTATGGTGTCAGGTTTCCTCGATACAGCCTTGTCTAGTGGAAAACCAACAGATATTACCTTTTGTATATTTTTTCTGTTAATAAAAAAAAATCATTTTGCATTTTTTTCCATGGATGTGCATTTTATGTATGTAAATTCCCACCACTATGACATTTTTTTTTAAATGTTTAAATAAAATTTGTAATTCAGCTAAGGATATAAATGCACTAGCAAGTAGAATAAGCAAAAAGCAATTCTCAAGTTTTCAACAGATTCCGAGTGTTCCCGGGTCGTTCAGTGACCTTTAATAATCTTTTAATTTTTACTAATCATAAATACAATTTTCTATGCATTTCTTAAAATTTATAACGTAATTTAAGTAATTTCAATATACTTAAATGTATAGTTTTTATTTTATTATTTAAAGTGAGCCAAAATAAAAATAGCTATTGGTAATACATGATATGGGTAGATAATGAAGTTTTTGCTTACTGTACAGAGTCTTTGTCTTTTAAAAGTGTCAGAAATGTACAATATCGTACGATTTATGATAATAAATTTTATACTCGCAGAGTTTGTCGTAGTCATTTCGTCTCCAAAACTAATTTACGAAGACTTTTACGGCATTTCATGTTAGTTTTAAATGCAGATCTGTTTTATTTATTGTTTTTGAAAATTTGGTAGGATTTATGTAGAGACGAACAGTATAGCTAAAAGAATTATTTGACAATCGTTTATTTACTAAAAGTAAATTTTATTGCGTTGATATTTTACGTTGCTTTATTTATTGATCTAGAACCTGTAGTCTTTTTTAGTTAATAAACTTTTGGAAATAGCATACTGTCTACATAATATAACTATATACAAATGCGTAGGGACGTATATAATTAAATTATTTCTATAAAATATCTATATATATATATATATATATATATTAGGATTTTAAAACGAAGAAAAACCATTGATAATTAAACTCCATTAATTATTCTTGCGTTATTTTATACAAATTATCAATAAAAAATTATAAAAAAAAATGCTAAAAACGTGAGAAAAACTTATTTAGTGATCTAAAAAGCCCTTGGAAAATGTATAAATACATTTTGACAAAAAGCTAAAACACTACAATTAAAACTATATTTACCGTGTGCACGTGCGTGGCACGTACAAAATGTGAAACGAATCAAATAACAGTGACAGAAAATATATGACTGTACAACAAACTTACTAGACACGAATATAATAAAGTTAAAAACTTACTTGTGGCATAAAATGATTACCAAAAAACAGACGTATTCCCACAGTCTTAAAATAGACATATTGAATTTATTTTATACGAAAAAATGTATTGCAAAATGAATGAAAAAAATAAATTAATAAAAAACTTACTTAAATGAGAACTAAATCATGTCCTTCCATAGGAAAATAATCGGTAGTGTCTAAAACACAAAGTAAACTTGCTCCACGTCACTATTTCTATACTGCTAGTAAGTAATATCGATTAAAATCAAGTTCTTGTTCTATGTTGCTATAAAAGCAGATCGGAGAAACAATTCTAATTGAAGTCGTATTCGAATAGAGGCTGAGGCAGAAAACTCTTGATGCCTGCATTTCCGTTACGCTTCGTTGCCTAATGCTCGACATTCAGTCTATTCAGCACTTCGGAGTCACCACTGCGGAGATTCCTTTGGATTGCTTATAATTTTAAATTCACACAATTTGTTCAGTCCATTTAACTAAAATGAATTTTACTTTGAGCAAAATTTAAATTATTATGTTGTTGACATTATTGACATTTATGAAAAGATGATATTTTAGACTAAATCTGTTTTTACTTAAATACTTAAATAAAAAACATAGCGTGCTTAAGCCAATATACGGTCTAAACTCTAAAAATAATATTGATAAAAAAAGAAAAACTTTGGTGTCAATCACAAATATTAAAAAGTTTACGAAATACCAATACATTGGAAAATATTTTTTCTCCACTCAAAATATCGGTTCTAAAATCATTCACGATAGAGCAATCAGGAGCACATAACTGAAAGGGTCTAAAATTTTACATTTAAAATGTATTTATAAACGAATTGCAATTGAAAGAAATTGAAAAGTGAAACGTGTAGAAATGTCGTAGGTTCCCAAAATACCCGGGCGGCAGCCGCAGGCGGAGCGCGCATCGATGTTCTACAAGATATACCTACTCGATGTTTTTCTGTCCCCTCGTGTTGTTTTTTATCTTTCTATTCACCTTTTCTTGCCACTTTCGGTGTTTGGATGTTTTCACTAACTGTTAATGTTGATAATAATTACCCTTGTATTTAATGTATTAGTATTATTGTTGTCTTGTTGCGTGAATCTTATTGCAATTTTTCATTCTAAAGTACTTTTTCATTATTTAAATCACATGATGGAAATTTAAACAGATAAATTATATTATTATTACTAGTACTTGGGATATATAAATACTAAAAGTTAAAAATATAAATATATATTTTCTAACTGCATTAGGTTTCACGCAATACTATACTTATTTTATATATTTTATTTTTAAATTCTCAGTGTTGAACGGCCAGAAACGCGAAAGCATTAGTCGAAATTAAACGTTGTTTTTTTTTTCGATAAAATGTTTTGGGGTTTCAATGTATATTAATATTTGGAGTTTCTGCGAATGTTTTCGCATTTCTAGTCACAATTTCGTAATATTTTTGTAAATGTGCATGAATCCCGAATGCACTGCC